CAAATTTAGGTCTTTCTTTATGCTTAAAATTAAATGAGCTATGTCCATAATTAATTTAGCCAATATGCAAATTAATAATGGATTTGACAAATGGGAGTTGGAAAAATAAACTAATCATCTAATGAAAAATTTTCCAACTTTCATACTTGTGTAAAATACCAAGATTACATCTCCCAATATGAAGATTAATCAAATTTAACTCACAAGTATTTGAACTTGATGGATTTTAATCAACCAAACATGAAAAATCCAAACTTTGTTCAATATGGAATTTAGGGATAAGGTTCCAATCATTTAAACCTTTAAAGATTAGAACTTTAACAATATAGGAACTTAAAATTACAAGATCACAACAAGCTTTCACATTTTATTGCAATTTATTTGCAAAATTTGTGAAAAACAAGTTTATGTGAAAAATGGTATACCAACTTAAGCACTAATAAAAACTCCATTATTATGCTTAAGGATATTTTTAAAACCAGTAAATTAGTGATGCAAATGTGCATTCAATCTAACCTTGTAATGCTTGCATTAATCAAGGCTTAAAAAGAATTAAAATTTTCGTTAAAAAACGAAAAACCCCAGAAAAAATGGGTTTCTGGTTCGAATTTGGCTTCTGGACAGTTCTCATAGAGGGTTGAATCTGTTCCAGAATGTCGATTCCACCAAAAAATCACTATTTTTGAGCCAAAATCTGGGTTCGACAGCCAAATCGAGAATAAAACCGAGTTTTAAAATTAATTAAAACGAGCATCTAATCTAATTAGAAGAACATGAACCAGAAAAATAAATTCTTTTAAAACACCTTAATTTAAAAATAATTACAAAAATTAAAAGGAGCGTGGCTCCGATACCGCTGTAAGGTTTCGTAGTGACCCGACACTACGCGGAAGGAAACCCCCCAAGACCTGTCCCTTCATTAAAGCAATTAACAAGCATAATAAACTTAATCAAGCAAGATTAAGAACAAGAATTATACCTTTGTTGCGTGCTTCACTCCCGAAGAGCTATTACTTCAAAATCCCGAAACTACGAGATCTCCGACGGATCGTACCCTCGACCCGACCCAAGCGTTTTAAGTCTTGAAGGTTAGTCAAGACCTGGACAAAACAAAACTATGAGTTTTACGAATCAAAGGTTTACTCTAATTACAAAAGTTGCCTTTTTAATTACACTCAAGGTTGTGTATTTCCCAATACCATGCCTTTGGTATTTATAGGGAATTGCACCCTTAAACTTCATTCCCCAATCAATGTGGGAGAATAAATAACTTGATAATTAATTTATTTCCTAAATAAATTAATAATTAAATTCAATCACAATGCAACAAGTGTCAAGGGGAGAGAGAAGGTTAGGTGAGGACCATGAAGAGGTGGGGGGGACCATTGCCTTTCTCCCCAAGGCTTTACCCAAGCCTTGGTCCCCACCCCTCACAAAACCGCCTTAAGCATAAGCTGTTGGGTTGCTGCCAGCTAGCACGCCAGCTAGCAGTGCCAGCTAGCCCAGCCAGCCTGCACCAGCCCACCCAGCAGCCTTCGCATCCCAGCAAGGCAGTGCATGCTTGGTGCTGGGCGATGCTTGGCGCTGGTGCGTGCTAGTGCTAGGCGCTGGTGCGTGCTGGCGCTGGTGCTGGCCCCTCGCCTCTCTCGCACATGCTCGCATAGCCAGCATGCGTGCTGCTAGCGAGCCACGCATGGTGGCCCCTTGCCTCGCCAGTCACACGCACCACCCTCGCATCCCTCGCTACACCTCTCGCACACGCACCAGCCTTGCACCCCACGCACATGCGCCACACGCATTGCTAGTCCAGCTAGTGCGCCTACGCACGCAAGGGCCTAGCATGCGTGCTGGGCGATGCTGCCAGGCACCCTCGCACTAGCACACATCAGCCAGTGCCTAGCACTGCTATGCTTGGTGCGAGGCACGCACACACCAGCCAGTGCCTAAATCTGCTATGCTTGGTGCGAGGCACGCACACAAGCACATGCACATGCGCCAGTGCCTAGCACTGCGATGGCTGTGCTTGGTGCGTGTGTGGCCCTGCCATGCGCACCTAGGCATCCAACCAAGCATGTTGCTGTGTTGCGATGGTGCACCTAGGCTGCGATGGTGCGCCTAGGCTGCGATGGTCAGCGATGGCGTGCCTAGGCTGCGATGGTGCGCCTAGCACACCTAGTATGCTTAAGCTTGCGCCTAGCCATGCTAGGTGCATGCTAGCTCGAACTAGCCTAGCATCCACATGGTTAGACCATTGTGGTGCTACGGCTACGCTTGTACTTGTCGCTTGTGATTTTGCGACGCTCGGCCTCGACGCTCTAGGCTCGATATCCGTAGTCTGTATTCGTAAAACTCTGTCAACTCATTAAATCCTTTCGGATTAACTCGTCGTCTCGGATCTGTGATTCGATTGGGTTCGACCCGAAGGGTTCAGTTAAGATTAAGCTGCAATATCAATTGTACCTTGATATTACTGATCGGAAGCGGCCTCCACCTAGGCATTCTGATCACTTGATCTTACTGAAGAATTGACTCTGTAATAATTCTGAATCCTCTATCGGAAGAATACACTTGTTAGAAGGACACCATTCCTTTCAAAATGTAATTGTTTCCCATAAAAGGTACCCTTCTGCTATAGATCCTTCAGGTTGTGCTTTATTGCTTACATGAGGTTTCAAAAAGGCTAAATACCTTAAAAAAAATTATATATGTTAATGTATATGAAAAAAATTAATGTGGGTTAAGTATTCTTATATAAGAGTGAATATTGATATATATAGATATTAACCTTTCAATGGGATACATCCATCGAAGTAACACGTACGAATTTTTTTTGTGATGTTGGTTTGTGGAGACAGAACTTTTAGCTAGGAGTAGGAGTTTACTAGAATATTTTTCACGAGGAGGAATGGTGAGAGTCAGTGATCTGTGCTTAAAGCTTTGAGAATGGTCTGAGTACATGACCAATGTAGTACTCTGTAGTTGCTAGAATTTTGACAGTAGATAGCTCTTATAGCAGGTGAAATATGATGGCTTATCCTAGTCATACTTGTATATGATGTCACTTTTGTGTTACTATGAGTATGTGTAGCTTACTAACAGCCTCTAATTTGTAGTTCTCTTTTCCTTACTAATATCTTTTTGTAGCAAAAAGGCTTTACATGCACTAGTTTCTGTTAAGTCTTATGTTACAACTTATTACCAAGAAATAGAAACTTCTTTTCTAGATGCTCGCGCTTTTGATATGAAATTTGAGCATGGTGAAACTTTGTATACTTCAATTTAACAATCTGTGAAGCCTCAACTGCTATTCTGCAGTGGCAACACCTTTGAGACATCGCCAAGTTTGTTTACATCAAATCCTCGTTAACACAGCTTTTGTTAGCTCGGAATCAATCAGTTTCTGTTAATTAAATGCAGTTTTCAATTGATCTTTAATCGTACATTTCCATCAGTTAAACATCAATTGTTGATCAAATGAAGGTGTTTGTTCAACAACATACAATGTACATCGCAATGACAACCAAAAAGTTCTTGCCACTCATTCTTTGAGCTCTGAAATGAGCAGCTGCTTCTATTTGTTTTCAGAATTTTTTTGAGAAGCTGACATATTACAACACTTAAATACAGTAAACTTTTATGCCAATGTTCAAAATATAGTAGCCATCAAACAAGTTTCAAGCAGCGGAAATGATGCATGCTTAAGCACCAAGCTCGAGGATCAAACATACAATCAAAACCTATGCTATATAAATGCACAGACTTGCTAGCTACTGCTGAATGCTGATCCCCTCCCATAGTCCCATACATCCTTGGTCTGACAGAGATCATCTAGGTAGGATACAGTTCAAATACTTAGCCAGAAAGTAAATTTGCCTATTTAATACACCGTACTTCATAAAGTGGATCGCTTGCAATGAAAGTTAACTCAAAACCTCTGTTTTATACAAAATAAATCATCTTTTGCATTCCCGTTTTATAGAATTTACTTCCTCATAAGATATCTTGCAGTAGCAACTAACACCCCTTCCAAACCCCAGCAGGTTCTTCAAAAGGTCCACATTCTATATTCCTATCCTAAACCAACTCCTTCAACCACAATTAGAGGCTCTTTCCACCAGTAGCTTGGGATGATTTAGTAACTTAAGTTCAAGGGAACACAATATCAATGGAACCAAGTTTCTCAGTATGATAAGTTTTATTCAGATAGTTGATAACTAAGTTTAGAATATTTTACTAACTAATGGCAAAAAGATCAGCTTATGCCACTCAACTTCATAGATCAAACCACAATATCATTGGAACTAAGTTTACTACAGTAAGAAAATAGTGAAAACTACATGCTGTTGGAAATATGAATTTTTGACCCCAATATTGCAACTAAGAAGTAATATTACTAGTTTGCTTCGGATTAGAAAATAATTACCTCAATACCGTCCACATAGGATCAGCAGAGGGATTATAATTTATTTTATTTTTTTAAAACACGAGGTAAAAGCGCTATTCTAAACAGCGATTTTAATGTAAATCGCTAATACAAATAGCGAGTTATGGCAATTAAAGTAGTCAAAGAAGGCCAATTCCATCAGCAATTTACAGTGGCAATCGCTACTCCGAGTAGCGATTTACACTGTAAATTTCAGCAGCAGTTTTCTGCTTTGCGGGGCACAGTTCTAGTTATTAAACAACTCCAAACTTGCAAATTCCAGCTCCCAAACCTGCAAATTCTAGCTCCCAAATCAACTCCAAACATGCAATTTTCAACTACAAAAATCCAAGCCTTCCAAATCTTCAAAACAAAAATGTACAAACCACTTTGAACATAATAATAATTACATTGCATAAGCTGAAAATGCCTTTAAAAATAGTCCAAAAGTATATATAACAATAAGATTCTAATTACTTATAAATATCATTAGAGTTACATGTCTTAGCACTCAAAAGCTACCTATATATTGCATTGTTTCTTCCTAAGGAGCGATGTTGATCCACCGTCCAACTGATCAGTCCCAGAAAATAGTAACCAAAGAAGGTACATTCTTGTCACGCTTGCGGCGTTCGTAGAATATGTGTCCAGGAGGGGATGCAATGAATGATTCAGGAGGTTTCAAAGGTTCAAGCATAGGAGCACATGTCGGAGTAGTAGGAGTAGGAGTAGGTGTAAGAGTAGGAGTAGGAGTAGGAATAGGAGTCGACCTGTCCACCGAAATGGGAGTCTGAACATGAGAGGATGCTGCAGTTGAGGTCTCGATGTCAGAGGTAGTTGGAGTTGGAGTCTGAGGGTGAGATGATGCTGGAGTTGCAGGAGTAACACGGGGGGCTCTAAATCGATCTCGTTTTGCTCGTGCGGAAGGTGGTCGCTTGGCTTTCGATGCCAATGAACTGTGTGAGGTGGATGGCGTGAGCTGAGGACGAAGGTACACTGTGTTGGTTTGTGAGGTGGGAATGACCAAGAGTTGTCAAGGTCTCCGTGCATGTGGAAGACAAGCTGCGTAATGCATCCAAAGTGAAAGGTAAGGCCTTTTCAGGTGTCAAATCTTCAGCAGATGAGATCGCTCGGGTGCATCTCGATACAACATTGATGAGAGTATTAACCTTCACAACTGTCAAACAAACCAAAAATTAATACAATAAAGTATGAAATAATTACTTATGAAAGAAACAAATTGAACAGACTATGCTTTAGTGATGTACATACCAAAATACGGTCAGTTGTAGCAGGTTGATAGTGACTTGGAGGACGTTGAATTGAAGGTGGAGTGATGAGCAACCTTGTGATACTTCGATACCATGCCATGTAATCGGATGTAGAATGACCCGTGTAAGTGATCCCTGAAACAATTTTTTCTAGCTTCACGCTTTGTCCACTCGTTAATGTAGCTAGCATGCAAGTCAGGGTAGTTTTTGTTTGCTCCTCTTCCATCTAAGTGGTGGAGCTTGTCACTAGTATCACAAGAGGTTGGAATTGTTTGCTCAAATCCAAATTGTCGCATCACACGGTTAGGGTAGTAGAACTCAACAATCTCAAAGCACACAAGTGGGGCAGATGTACGCCAAACATGACGATCGATGCGACAAATTTCGGGTAGTTCTTGTAGGATGTCCTCTGAATATGGCTGCCATGTCATCTGCCAAAAAAAAACATACATGACCATTGACTATGAGTAATGACACAATACAATAATAAATTAAATTGTGAGAATGAAAAAGGACAACATATACCTGCTCCTTGCGTTGATGATCCAAAGCATCTCTTGTTAATGGACCATCTCAACCAAAAGTTTAAGCTGATGGTTAAAGCCCAAAAATATAATATATACTCTATCACTCCCCCTCACATGAAAGGCCTTTTGGGCTTGAAATGTGGACGCAACACAGACCCTCTCATACCCGGCGCGAATTAATTCCACTTAAAAGGGGGGAGGGAGGAGAGATTCTAACTCGTGACCTCTGTGTCACGCCGGTGGCTCTGATACCATGTTAATGGACCATCTCAACCAAAAGCTTAAGTTGATGGTTGGGGCCCAGGAATATGTTATATACTCTATCACTCCCCCGGCCCTCACATGAAAGGCCCTTTGGGCATGTAATGTAGACGCAGCACAGGCCCCTCATACCCGGCGCGAATTAATTCCACTTAGAAGGGAGAGGGAGGAGAGATTCGAACCCGTGACCTCTGTGTCACGCTGGCTCTGATACCATATTAATGGACCATCTCAACTTAAAACTTAAGCTGATGGTTGAAGCCCAAGAATATAATAGCATGCCACGTGTTATCACTTGTCTAATCATCCAAATAAATAAGAAATTATCTTGTGTTATAAAATAAGGAGAAAATATGAGAGATGGTGAGAGAATAGATCAGTCTATATTATTTCATAGAGTGGGGATATATATATACATACAATATAACTAGGGTTTGCTTAGATAACAATAAACCCTAGATGTAGAACATTCCAAATTGATAAAGGAGGATAATGGATATCCATACAACATAATATTTCATAACACTCCCCCCTTGGATGTCCATTATCGAAGAGTGTGTCTCGTTAAAACCTTATTAAGAAAAAACCCTGTGGGATAAAAACCTAATGAAGGAAAAAGAGTACAACATTCTTCGTAATACGCTCGAGATGCTGCCTCATTAAAAACCTTACCAGGAAAACCCAATGTGGGACAAAACCATGGTCAAGGGAAAAAGAGTGCAACGCGTATTTTCTCCCCCTGATGAATACATAACTTGAAATTATCTAATGCTGCAATGAATCCAATATGGCGAGGTGTCTTCTCATATGTAGTAGAATATCATTCCTTGCTCTTCGACCTTCCTAATTTGAATTTGCATCTTCAAGTCTTCACGTGAACATATAAAGTGTCTTCATTTCACCATGTATGGATTTATCTCTATATCATTCCAAACCTTTATTTGAATAAAGTTACCTTAAAAGTTAAACTTATGCGATTAGGCCTTCTTCTGGAGGTCGTGAATAATAGAAATCGATGATCATTATTTGATCAAACCTTCATTAATAATAATTTGATGACAAAACTTGATATTATTAATTTCGTTCTTCAATCTCATTTGAATTATAATATTACACATGTAATTAGATAATACGCTAATCATGGTTCTTCTGGACCATAAGAAAACATTCTCACACATAAGTATTCCATTGATATTCCTTAGACGTTTCATAATTGACACGATAGCTCTCTTACAAATACAAAAGCAAATCTCACTAACTTTCATATGCTCAAACATCAGGTTGAGAAGTCAATGATGTAGTCACATAGACTTTTCAAGAGTTTGATAATAATTGCAATATTCAAGATATAAAATTTGTAGGGCTATAAAGACGTTGCATATAAGTTCTTCGGGAACTTTTCTTACATGATTCATAAATAATATTAGATTAACGTCATATATAATTTCATCATAATTATAAGCCCATTGGAATATAAATATGTCTTTCCTTCTATTAAAGTTGTAAATATGTCTTACTATATATAATGAACATTTACATATACCACAAATATTATATAGAAACTAATGCATGCAATTTGAGATATAGAAATCATGATAAGATATTGAGCAAAATGTACAATGAGTAATGCATCTAACAATTTCTACACATGCAATAAATAATTCATTAACCTATGACTCACACATGCACATGAACATAAGACTCAAAATGATGCAAGACACTGTACAGTGTGGATTTAAAAATCCATATTTCATTGGACTTCTGGTCCATAATAAACTTTTGATCATTTTATGTCGACATCAAAATGGACATATATATTTCAGATCCCTTATTCATTAGTCCACTCTATTATACATATGCATATTATTTATCGGTTCCCTTGTGTACCGGTATCATAATATTCCTTTAACGTACATTTCGCATGCTATTTTACTATGATATCTGAATACATTTCTTATTGGTACCATCATAACTTTCTTACATCATAGGCCATCTATTGTAATAAATCAGATATTTATACCACTTTTAGGGTATTTCATACACTATGATATTTATATACTATTACGCTATTAGTTAACTGCACTATCTTGCCATATATCATATTTATTAGACATATCTTTATTTTGGAACCGACCATACAACCTACACTTCAGGTGTAGTGATTTAAGTATAATTGGCAAGATTTTATCTCAATGTATACACATAATATGACCAAAAAGTATCTTCCAACGCTATGCAACATGAATCATAACTAAATACAAATCAAATCATAAATGTGCAACATATCTTGATAATATATAGACAAAAGTTGGCATATAACTTTTCAAACTACCTTTATAGGGATCATCAATTATATTTTCCGATTTTTCCAACTTTTGCTAATTCTTTTCCCCCTAAGTTGGTAAAATATCTCATCTATAGGGGCGTCTAATTCTATACCAACTTAGTATACAAATTAAAATTCTTTTCATCGGGAGGATCAGAATCAAAATAATTATCTCAAAAGATTTGTATTAAACAAGTTTTATCTCTTCTAGAGAACAATTTCAATGAAGAATCATTTCTTCATTAACTTTACACTGCATGTGTATTTATTGTTACACTTTCCATAATATGTTCTCTTCTGGAGATCAATGTCAATGGGGAGACATGTGCTGTGCAGTTGTACGTTTTTCTTTCTTTTCCTATTTCTTATGTGCTGACATATAATAGCCCCAATCAAAAGAATTATTATACAAGCATAAATCACTTGCTTGGAATTCTACTAGGTAGTGATCTTCAAGATCTTTAAAGATTTAAATAGAGTATTTGGTGAGATTCTGGTCACCTAATAGTTGACAATAACATATTTATTATTCTGGTGAACTTCTGGTCACCCATTACTCTTGACATTTTCATCAATACAAATTATTATAAATCACTATTCAATAATAGCTCAATCTCAATATTATGTCTTGCCATTTAACTCATTTCATATATGCAACATTGAGAGAGCGTCAGCACATTATCAAATCAAACTTCAAGTTTCCATAACGGGTAATTGTTGAACCCGGATGGCCTAATTTAATTATCACATCCAGTCACTTCTCTAAATTTGAACTTTGATCAGTATTCCAACACTAGTGATCATTTTGTTAAAATTACTTTATGCATGGCCATGAATATGATGTGATATTAGAATACCAAAATGTGTTTCTTTATATAATTGGCAAGACAATCAACTAATACTTGATCCAAAATTTTATACTCTGCTGGAGCTTTGACTATAATCTTGATACATGCTAAGCTTGTTGGATAATTCTATACTCTTCTAGAGTACTCTATATAATCATGGTACATATCCATTTTACTAAATATAATCTCTTATAAAGATCTATCAAAATGTATTACTTCCTCAAATTTGCTATTGTCAATAATTGCTCTTTTCCTATTTGAAGATTCTTATCTTTGAAATCTATTGGGCTCGGCTATAGCTACCACGCTTTAGGCGTATTTTAGGAATGAAATCTATTCATATCCATCTTCAGGATGGTATCATTTTGAAATATATTACTTAACATGTGGCCACTTTTATTAAATAAAACATTAACATTTAAGTTAATTTATGTACCAAACTGACCATCAATATATTTTATTATTTATGTGCAAGGATTACATAATGATATTAATACTATCTCCCCCTAATCCTTGCATGTGGGGGCATTAAGTTAATCCAACTACCTTTAAATCTCTTGCACCTTTTGAGCCATAAATTCTCTTATCAATGCATGTATCAAACAAAGTAAAATGATTCTTATAAAACTCATATTCGTTCCTCTTGCCCAATTATATGAACCTTTATACTAAAAATTCTCAAATTAATATTCTAATAGAATTAAAGGAACTAAAATAAGATTCACTAAACCAAATAAATTAAATTAATAAATGATTGATAATAATAATAATAATGAAATATCCGAAAACATAAAAATATCCAAAACATAAAATTGTCCAAAAAACAAATGTCCCATAAAGCATAAAATCATAATACTACGATAAAATTCTATAATAAATGCAAGCTAATTAATAGAGTTATTCGCCAATGGATCATAATTTATTCAATTATTTTCTTCAGAATTAGGAAAGAAATCAGCTGCTTCCAGGTGAGTTTTATCACCGTAATCAAAATCACCTTCGCCATCCTCGTACACCAAATCTGTTTCCACTTTCTTTCCTTTCTGTTTGATTGATTGTTGATAAAGGTCTACTAGATGTTTTGGTGTACGACACACATGAGACCAATGGCCTTTTCCTCCACAACGGTAGCATATATTTTCATATTTATCCTTCTCATTCTTATTTCCATCTTTATTCTCCCACTTCTGGTGAGAGTATGAGTTTCTAAAATAACCACCTCGACCACGATCATGTCGACGTCCGCAGCCGTGATCACGACCTC